GTGATGGGTAGCACGAAGATCGTGCTTCAGACGACAGAGCAGATATAGCAGGTCAGGCAGAGGTTGTTGACCGCTCAGAGTCGCCAGAAGAGTTATGCGGATAGGCGACGATCTGAGCTTGAGTTCCAGGTTGGTGATTACGTTCTTCTGAAGGTATCTCCTTGGAAAGGAGTGATCCGATTCAGGAAGAGGGGTAAGCTAGGGCCCCGGTATATTGGGCCATTCAGATTGATCGCAAGAGTGGGCAGGGTAGCGTATCGCTTGGAGATACCTGCGGAGTTGGAGCGGATTCATAATACCTTCCACATGTCTCAGCTGAGGAAGTGTATAGCCGACGAGTCGGCGGTAGTGCCGTTAGAGGACATTCAGGTGGATGCGAGCCTGAACTACGTGTAGAGACCAGTTGCGATTATGGATCGGAAGATCAAGGTTCTGAGGAAGAAGGAGGTGCCTCTGGTGCAGGTTCAATGGCAACATCGGAAAGGATCCGAGTTGGCTTGGGAGCTAGAGCGGGAGATGCGTGAGCAGCATCCGGAGTTATTTCAGGGATGAGACTTCGAGGACGAAGTCTGATTCAAGTGGGGGAGAATTGTAACATCCGGAATTTCAGGTATTATATTTATTCTTTTGAATTTCAAGTTTTGTGGAAGGACTCGAAGAGTTAATGCGTAGACTCGCCGAGTAGAGATGCGAATCATTATCCGGGTGGACGCCTGGACTCGGTGAGTCGCCCCGAGGACTCGGCGAGTCCACGTTGTTTAATGAAACCCTAATTCCTCAGGTTTAGGGCCTATTTAAAGGGCCTTATGGCTGTCATTTGCAGCTACCAGACCCCAGAGAGAAACCCTAAGTGTGCTAGAGCTTTTTTGAGAGGGAAAGGAGCTATTTCTTGATCTTTGTTGGTGTTTTTGCAAATAGAAGAGGACCAAGACAAGAGGAGGCTGAAGAGGGTGCTAATCTAGTGATTCCAGAGCTTAGAGACTTCATTTTGAGGTATTCATTCGAACCCTCCTTCAGTTTATGATGTGATTCTTAGAGTTAGGGCTTTTTAGCCCCATTAGAGGATGGTTATATGGAGTCATTGGTCCCCTCTCGTGTTGGTGCTGTAGATCTGGACCCAAAGAGGTCTAGAGACCCTTTCCCCTTGAGCTTTATGGGTATTAATGGAGGTTATGAACTTAGGGTGTCATTTTAGAGGCCATATCTTCAAATAAGTCCTTTGAGCCTTTGCATGTGCACCAAGATGTTAGATTTACGTGATTATAATGCCTTAGGAAGCTGGATCTATGGTTTAGAGGAGCGGATCTGACCTCAAGAGGTCAGTTCAGCTTGAGCATGGCATGGACTCGCCGAGTCCTTTAGCTGACTTGACGAGTAGGACGAGGGTTTTCCCGATAATCACACAGCTGGTGACTCACTGAGTTGGGGAAATGACTCGGTGAATCAGAGGGAATCTAGAGGACAGAGTGCATGATGGTACTCGCCGAGTCAGGAGCTAGAATCGGCGAGTTGGGTCAGGACATTTCACAGATTGTGATCAGTGAAGATTTGCAGAGTTGAAGTTGACTCAGTGAGTCGAATGAGGACTAGGAGAGTGAAGAGCATGCGTTGACTCGTCGAGTCACAGTTTCGCACTCGGCGAGTCTGGTCAAGGTTGACCGTTGACTTCGTTGACTTTTAGGGTTAGTCAATGTTTGGACCTTAGAGTCATCGGAAGGGTAGGATAGTCTTTTACCCTTCCTAGTGGATGTATTGAGAGGAAGAGATTAGCCTAGCCCTGAGGGTTGTATTAATTAGGCTATTTATTTCATGTGATTAGGCAGAGGCTAGACCAGAGTTACCGAGTCACAGATTTACTGAGACATCCGAGGTGAGTCTTCTCACTATACTTTACCTTGAGTAGGTAACTAAAGTTATATGATACAGTGCTTTATATATATATTGTTTGTTGCACTGCATTCTTCTATGTGATTTATGGTGTGCATGCTTGCAGAGTTAGAACCTGAAGGTCCACAGAGTTTGGGTGCACGGACCCACAAAGTTATAGCCTCGAGTGGCTAATATGTGTTATATGTGGTATTTTGGGGAACTCACTAAGCTTTGTGCTTACAGTGTTTTGTGTTATGTGTTTCAGGTACTAGTGAGGATCGCGGGAAAGCGCCGGCTTGATCAGTACACACACGAGATTTTTGTGCTATGAGATCTTGGGATTGAAATATGTTATGAATTGAGTTTCAAACAATGATGTTTTTATGGATAATAAATGAATTATGTTTTCATAAAATGCGAAAAATGGTTTTGGAAATTTACGTTGTTACACCCAGCTTGGCCAAGCACTTAGGGTGTCATCACTAAATCATTGAGGGGCCCACATATATCGCTTTTATCCCACTTTGGGTAAAAGGAACGGATAAACTTCGACTCAAATGCTCGCTTGTACTTACTCATCAAATCACACACAACAATATGTTTTATAACACCAAGTTACTGGTGCGTTTACATATTATCAATGTGCAACCGACTTGCAAACTACAACTCACACGTCTCCATTTCAAGAATATAAGATATTATCATCTCACCAGTCACTTGTGATAAAATCCATAAAGCGATCCAAGTGAGAGTGACTTTAATCCAATACTCAAATCTTATTTCAGGAGCACTCATGAACACTGCAACATAATTTTTCTATGTCTAAAACGCTTTAGACAATCTACAGTTAGATTCATGACGGTCTTCTTTCATACCTACTTCCAAAGTATGATCAACTGTGGATGGTTTGAATAATCTTATTATTCAGGAAGTCAAAACATGCAAAGTGAAACACAAGAATAATAGTATTCCTATATGGCCCCAAACTTTTGAGTATAAATAAAACACCTTTATTTAATCACCATATTGATTACTCATTATTCATTGTATAATGTTTCGGATAATCAACTTTTTACTTGAATTATAACAATAGTTGTCCCATGCTCCAAGCATGCACATTCTGTTTTCCTATGGTCCATACTTTGTGAAATAGATCGATTGAACACATTTCCAATGATACTCATTTCACAACTCCTAATCCTTATCATTAGTGTAAGAATACTAAATTCTTGCCACTATTAGAATATGTTAAATTATAACATTTTATGCAACGATCCTTTCGTAACGTCACCGCACCAAAGCCACCAAGAATTTTCTAATGATATTACAAAGTGCTCTATTGGAGATTGTTACAAGGCAATTCTATAGATATGAAGTCTCACATTCAAAGTACATTCCTTTGAACATCTTTCTTGCATAAAAGTTTCTTATATAGACATAGATTCTTAACATCCAACTCCAAATATGGAAATATTTCCATATTTTCCATATGAAAACTCATTCTAAATAAAGTCTTATCTATTCATAATAAAGTCAATATGGTCCATTCGTTACTATACTTCCAACTGCCCACAAGTGACCATCCCTGGCAAACCTTAGATTGTCCTTGACAGTTGTTTAATTATTTTAGTCAAATCTGGTTCAAGTCTTTTTTCCCTCTTAATTCCCTAGGCAATTGGAATATTTAGAATGTTCGAATATTACATCATATGCAATCGATCCTATACCGAAGCGTATGGGATACGATTCATAATGAAAACCATGATACTTTACCAGTTTCTTGCTATAATATTGCCATATATAGAATTCCTTTATGTTGGATCTTTTCAACATGACATGCATATATGTCCTCTGACTAAATTTGATTAACATTTCTCGATCCAAACTTTTAGATTTTGAAACGAAGTATAATATTCTCTCCCTTAATTATAGAAAAACAAATTTTCAACCCTTGCAACTTTGCAAAGTGAAACCTTTTGTTTTCTATAATTAATATTGTTAACTTGAAACACTTAATTTAATAATCACTTGAAACACTTAAAATAATAATCATGCTCCCACTAACATGATGATTATATCCATACCTGCATAACATTTATGCTCCCACTAGCTTTGACACGTATTCAAAAAATAGTTGGACTTCTAGAAATCAATACTTATTGACTTCCAAAATTCATATTTCTAATACGATATGCTTCGATAAGCCTTTATCTAAGCTTCTCAAACTCATACACCTTTCCTTAGATAGCTCATATGTGCGTCTAAAAAATTTCATCACTTATAGCAAATAGCAATAAGTCTTAAATTTTTAAACTAATTGCCAAATCTTACAATTCGAACTATGAAGAGGGATGCCATAATCATAATCAAATTTGAGAATTCAATTTACACAATTGTTATCTCCTTAAAATCTTCTTAGTGAAAGCGTTTCCTCACAATCATTTTCATGAAGGAGAAACCTTATGACACTTAGATTTTATCGTGTATGTGTTCCTATCTATGTGAATTTGTCATAACCATAATCATAAGATATTGTTTGTGGCAACCCCAAACTCTTATGGACAAAACTTGCTCATTCTAAATTTCTTGCCATCAAGGGTCCCACCATTTATTCCAAGTTATTGAGCAGCTCACCCCTACCTATCAATGTACTTTCCATTAATCAGGGTGTCTTGCCTCTATGCAATCAATTAAGAACTCATCACTACTAGAAAAACAGCCTTTTACGATGCTCATTGCGCATTGTAAAAGGCTTAGATGATGCGCAAATGCGTGTCAAGGAAGGCCCTGTCATAAAGAGAGACGACGCGCTTTTGCGCGTCATCTTACGACGCTCATTTACGATGCACATTTACGACGCGCGTTTACGACACGCAATGCATATCAAGGAAGGACCTGTCATAAAGGAATACGACACGCATTCGCGTTTCGTAACCTTACGACGCTCGTGTTAATGACACACAATGCGTATCAAGAAAGCCTCTGTCAAGAAAGGTCATCTCATAAATAAAGATGACACACATTTTTGCGTATCATAATTTTAAATGTTTAAAAAAATATTTTTTTTATAGATTTACTAATTTTCAAATTAAATTTGCATTTAATACCTCATAATATAAAATAGAATATCATATACAAAAAATATAATCCATTTCATAATTTAATGTCATACAAAATGTCATATACAAAAAATAGAATCCATTGCATAATATTTTATTACAAATTTGACATTTTTTTTGTTTCCGTAATTTGACAATTTTCCAGAGCCAATCCGCGACTGCATTCCAGAGTTGATTCAATTTGTGCTGCTGCTGATTTCAGAGCCAATCTGTGACTGCATTCTAGAGCTGATTCAGTGGAAAGAGCATCCCATACTCCATCACTTGAAATTACAAGCCGCCCACCTGCAGAAGATAGCTGAAGATCATGAATAAATAAAAGTTGTCAATAAAAAGAGGAATAAATTGAGTTTAATTACTAAAGTAACCTTCGCTTGTTTGACATGAGGAACTGGAATAATGAACTCCCCAACATCTCTATCTCCAATAGATCTTGAAAGGCATAACCCACCTCGCCAACATTTTAAAGGACCAATCTAAGTAGAGTTGCATCTTGCCTTTCATAATTTTTTAAGACTAATGAACCCTTGCTCCGATAATTCTTGTGACCTGATCAAATAAAATTCAAAAACTAATTATGCTATTATAATTATTAGAAGAATCAAACATGGAAAGTTAGTTGTAAAAAAGACAAAATTACCCGTTTCTCCATCCAAAGAATGTGGGATTTGGAATAAATACACTACAATATGAATTACCTGATATTAACAATGAAAATCACAATGACAAGAATATTTTCTTTGTACAATAAACTAGTCCTTTAAAAGCTTATTTCTTTAATTTGATATTTTCTTACCTCCATTAAGCCCAACCATATAGCATTCATATACCATGCTAGCATTAGACTGATCCAACATAGCATTCATATACCATGCTAGCATAAGACTGATCCAACATAGCATTTATATACCATGGTAGCATTAAAAATATAAATAATCACCTTATTTTAAGAAGCCTAGCTGATCCATGGATGGCCTATTCGTAAATAATGTTCAATAAGAAGCCTAAATAATACTTATAGGAAAATTTTATAACAACCAAGACTTACAAAGAACACCATGAGCTGTTATTCGTCTTTTGGGGTCTTTAATAAGCTTTTTCCTAACCAAATCTTGAGCACTTTCAGAGATACTAGGTCGTGGATCTGAGGAAATTAAAGTCGAGTTTACCCCTCAAAACCTCTTCAAAGATCTCATTTTCAGATTCTATCATGAAAAAAAGAACATAAATTCAGTCACTAAAAGAAAGTTTAGAGAATTTGATAAGTTATTAACTTATTATCTTATTAGTCTTTTATTCCTTTAGACTTACCTCCCAAAAAAGGTGGGACCCCACAAAGAAGATTGTAAAGAATCACACCAGCACTCCATATATCTGCTTCAAGACCATAAACCTGAAACATAAAAGTATTTTTAAATATATACGATTAGTTAATATCAATATAGTATATAACATAATATTCTTTTGTACACTACAACAATAGCAACAAAATTTTTTTATCTTTTATATAGAAAAAACATAAACTAATCTTTTAAACTTTTATAAAAATGCATGAATTATGACTCACTTTCCAACAAAAGTTGTATGAGCAATAGCAAGTTACATTATAGCTTCCACTTCCAAGATCAAACTCAATAACACAATCACGTCCAGGAGCAAGTTATAAAAATCTTTTTTTTTTTTTTTTTTTAAAACAGACTACAATTACAGAAAATAAAAAAAGTACCATGTATGGTCAAAACAAGATTCAGACTACAATTATAATTTTTTTTTTTTAAAAGTAGCCAACAAGAGTCGTCAAGAAAATAAACTTACATTGACATATTGCAAATATGTTCTCAGAAACAAATCGAATATTTTGGCCTTTGGGAGCTTTTGTAGTGTTTCTATATAATCCTATCAACATATTCAATACCCCATTGATAACACATAAAAAGAATTCTATAATTTTTATTTGTTAACAAAAAAAGAAAAAAAAAGTTGAGAATTTTGAAATGAACACCTGGATTTCGTTCGCTTCCTCAGATATATCAACATCCTTCCATCTAAGTTCTCTTAGGGCTGCATCAAACTCTTTTTTTCTTCCAGTCTCTGCCTGCATGCATGATGTCAAGCATAATTTCTTGAAGATAAATTAAACAGCTTCGTGAATCATGATACTTCACATAAAAAAAAGTTAACCAATGGATTTCTTCCGATGAATGATAAATGGCAAACATAATAAGCACACCTTTGATAGTGATTTGTAGCATGTGGGACCCATGAGGCCGAAATAACATCAGAGTGGCATCATAACTCGGTCGAATACTCTCCAAATTAGAGCTCCCAATGATCAAATCATTGAGTCTGAGAGCCGACATGCCAAATGATATAGATGGGCTCCATTTGTAAACTTTAAGGTTAACACCCTTGTTACATTCGACCTTAACCACTACTTCAGGTACTTTTAAAAATGGAATTTGATTGGAATATGTATCAAACATTAAAACATAAATAGGCTGGAAACAACGACCCACCCTAAATAACAAATAAGAAACACATGTATGAGTTATTAGATTAGATTTTATAAAAATGCACACATAAATTATATTTTTATTACGTCACATTATAATTAGGAAGCTTCTTGGCAAGTGGCCGTTTGTGGACCTCACGCGGTGCTTCAACTTTGACCTTCACCACACGTTTCTCACAAGTTGAATCATTAACAAAATCATATGATTGTAAAGCCATGTGTTTTATATATTCATTAAAGCAATTCAATGTTACTCACAATGGAAAACGTGAATTTATAAATTCCAGCTTTTTGAAACAGAGGATGGGAGTTGCATTTTGGTTGAAATATATATAAACCATGCAAGTCCATTCGTGATGAAGGTGTTACACGTCCTGAAAACATAACTGCAAGTAGACTAAGGGTTGTTTCTTTCTTTTTTCCAATTAAGTCTTGAATGGGTGATAATATTTGTCTGGATAAAGTGTTGTATGCTTACGGTCTGTTTATTTTATAGACTTGTCTGAATTAGACTAAATGACCATTTTATCCTTACACTCCAAAAAACAAATTCCCAATATTCATCAATTTTAACATGAGGAGTTGGGAGAAAAAAGGACAACTAGGTTAAGAGGGTAGTGTCTTAACACATTAATCCATGTTTTTTGGCTTAACCGATAAAGTCAAGATGTCCAAATTAAGTTAAAAAAAAACAGCAATGTATAGTTAACCCATCAAGCCCATTAAGTTAAAAATAAATAAACAGCCCCTAGGGTTATAACAAAAAGTCCTAACCTTTCCAGAATCAATGACATTTATAGGTACTAATTCAGATTTTCGAAAATCAAAAGTGGGATTTCCATTAGCAGATTCAAGGAGACAGCCATCTTCTTCTAACACCTCAATCCGCCTTCAAATTTCCAAATGAGAGTTGTAATTGTGAATTTGAACCAAAAAACTATCAGTTACTACAAAATAATAGAATAAAATAAAGATGATATTATATGTAAGATGGTCCACCTGCATATTATCCATGCTTCACCAGCATCCCCTTGAAATCCTTCAAGAATGATGTATTCCAACGTAGCATAGATATTAGTTTTGTGGAATCCACCACATGCTCCTTTTAGAATCTTGATTTTCTACCCTGAATCCTAAGATTTTCCATTACAGCTTTGTGAACCCTGAAAACTGCAACCAAAACCAACATGAGTATCAGAAAATCAATGCCATGGAGTCAATTATTTTTTATTTTCACCATTGTTTGCTATGATAAGCTCCTTGTTTGTAAAATTTACTATGAAGACAGGCTCCTTGTTTGCTATGTGAAGCTCCTTGTTTGTAAAATTCAGTATTAAGAATGCCACTAGTAGTAAATAAATATAATTTAGACTAATTTAAAACCTATCAATGCCAAGGTCCTCCATGTTAGCACAATTCCAATTATAAAGGCAACGGACACTCCTGTACATATCATGAATGCCTCACGTGCAACAAGTAGGAAAAGCAAAGATTTTTCTTTCTTCAAAATTTTTCCAAATGTGGATAATACAATCTTCGCCAGCACTTGCTGAGTATCTACCATCATGACTGGAATTTATGATTGAGATGTAACCATTGTGTGCTGAAAACTCTTGTGTGGCATAAAGAGATGATAATTCTTTTGATTTATTTTTATGCCAGCGATGCCAACAATCCTGCCAAGTTTCAGTTCACATTATACTCAGAATCCCTTCAAGAATATTCATGTTCTTGAAGAAGATTCCCAAAATGTTTACTGGCTATATATATATATATATATATATATATATATATATATATGTGTGTGTGTGTGTGTGTGTGTGTATATATAATATGTAATATATATAATAATTGTACTTAGGTCTGGATTCTGAAAGCTCTCTTTATTTATGAACCAAACCAACTAACTAGGTGTGATATCACTTTGCAGTACATTAGGGTGGTAAAACGGCCAAGTTGGACCCGTAGGGATTGCAAAGGCTTGCACTTTCTGGTTCTCCATCACCATCATCCTCATCCATGCTGTTAATAAACAAGAAAAAGCTCTTGTGTTAACAATTATTTTCCGCTATTATTATTATTATTATTATTATTATTATTTTCTTTTATAAAGAAATTATTATAAGAGAAGGAGTCAAGACTTTGGGAGCCTGTTGCAGTTTGCAGGAGTCCATCCGATCTGCTGTTTCTCATTGTCATAAATGATGATTCTATCTTGAAATGATATGTCTGCAAATGGCAAGTAAGCAACTTTGTAATTCATAATCTACAGAAGATTTAAAATAAGTTAACTTATCTTTTAGGGCTTACCTCCAATTACATTAATGTTTCCCAGGCCAACTTCGGAACCGTTTAAAATCCCAAAGCAGGCGTTTCCGTTTTGCTGGAACAAGGTATGCAAATGTTAAAACTTAATACTATATTCTGAAATGAATTTTTTTTTTTTTTTTTAAAGTTCACATCACTTACACTGATGATGAGATATGATTCAGGGTTCAACTGCAACTTTGACTTTTTGAACTTCAAAATTATTGGCTCAAATAAGTTTTTGACATCATAAATTGACTTGAAAGGTTTTGAGCCTTTCCAGCATACTGGGAGGCTTTATCTTCATTTGTTATATAAACCTTCTTTCCTTTCATATCGTTCATAAGTTGCAGTGCACCCACATGTTTTTATATTAGTTTCCAACATCACAAAAAGGCAAACAACTTAATCTTTAAGGATGTCACACAAACAATAATAGATTGAAAACAAAAAAAGATGTTTTTGGGTGGAACTAAATTTACAGATATCTGTCAGTTAAAAAGAAGTCAAGAATATTTTTCACTCACCATGGAATATAGAGCTTTATGAGCTTCTCCACTAAAGTAAGTGTAGGTACTTCCACTATCAAACACTATAGGAAGACCTTTCATCCTAGTTGTTTTTCCACCCAAAAAAGCTCAGCAGTTCCCAATTTGTACCAAGAATTTATGTTATGTACGAAGAAAATCGGATGTAGTAAATGATTCCCAGAATGTTTTGCAAGCATGGAATAAAGACTCCTATCATTGTTTCCAATTTGTGTATGTTACTAACCTGCACTAAGTAAGTCCAAAGGACATGAATTATACTGAAACCAGTTTTAGGTTATGGTAGGCTCAAAACTAGTTACTTTTCAGCAGAGTACCTTTGGAATTGGTTCATCAACAGAATGATCCTCACCGTTTTTGGGACTACTAGGCACAGATATCTGCTCTCCTGTCATGCTGAGATGGGAAGCTCAGAGCATCCCATCATTCTTCCTTGGAACACATGGCTATATAGATAGTAAAGTATGTGTGTGAGGTGCTATGTGCGACTGCTAACAAAGTATCAGAATGGGACCGAGAAGCAGAAAAGTAGGGGGAAGGATATCGCACCTATTAGACAGTAGAAGTGAGGATTGTGGAATGATGAGGAAATCGCCAGTGAAACCTGCATAGTTTTTCAGTTAGGGTTTTACACAGGAGAAGATGAGAAGATCCAAAATCGAAATCAAAGCTATGAATAGAGGAGTAATTAAAGAAAATGAAGAACGAAAAGATTAGGAAGAGAGAATAACCAAAGCATATCTTAGTCGGGCTAGGGTGTGGAAATTTGAGCAGTCTCCGACGAGGTCACATGAGCCCGAGGCCGCCGGAGGAAAATACCCCTAAGGTCGTTGGAGGAGAAGTGAGCAAAGATGTTGTCGGCGAGGTGAGGCGAGATCATCGGTCGATTGTTGCAGAGGCCAGAGAGCACCAAGTGTTTCGGTTCTTTAAAAAAAAGCCCTAGTCCCTGCGATTTTGTGGAATTTAGTAGTATTATTGATGATTGTCTTCTTCTTTTCTTCTTAAATCGTAGTAACAATCTCTATGAAGTCGCAGGTTAGGTTTTAGGTTAGAGAGAGAGAGAGAGAGAGGAAGAAGAAGACCCTATGTTTCTTTTTTGCTAATTGGAAGAGGAGCGGGTTTTAATTTTTCACATGGAATGGGCGGGGTTTTAATTTTTGGGGATTTCATTTCCCTCTTTTAAGAACGCGGGTTTTGAGTAAAACATAAAGCGACATTCACAGACGATGCACATTTTAGATAAAGTGCCCACCGTGTTTTTTTTTTTTTTACATGAGACACTAATCTAAGGGCACGCAATAATGCGTGACATAAATCCTTAAATTTTTTGAAGAGACGACACTTTTTTAATGTCACTCTCTTTTGCGTAACATAAATCAATGAGTGTCGTGGTTTGCGCGTCGTAAAAGGGTCTTTTTGTTGTAATGCATAGAACTCACATGCTTAGTTGACCAAAGTGGAATGGCACAGAAACAAGAATATTTCAACACGATAGGTTACAAACCTCAAGTCGTGTGCTAGTGTTTAATAATAGGTTTACTCTTGATTAGTTCTTGAAACTTTTCAAGATCATTTAGACTCCCATTGACCTCTTGACATATAAGATTCTCTGGTCAAGAAACATTTCTTGACAAACAGATATTCAAGAGTTAGTGTAGATTCATATCAAGACAAACATTACACACAATTGGTATTAGTTGGTCTTTGTCTTATCCAAAACATCACAATTTACCAATTTCAAGTGTGCATGAGTAAGAAAAACATTTTTTTTCTACTTCACATTTGATGAATGTGTTAAAACTTCTTAAGATGTGTCACTCAAGTCACAATCTTGGAGTATTACTCCAAGACTTGATTTTGGAACGAAGTATAACTCATCCTTTTGATTTAACCATTTTAACAATTTCCAATTCTTATCCTTAGCCATACTAATGCGCTAAGGTGTCCTTAGAGGATCAATTGTGAAATGGTTTCATAATCAATAATACGATCATAAAATATGATACTAAAGTACTCTCCTATCTTTTCAGATTGGAGAAACTTTTATATTTCTGCCTAATTGATTATTCTTATTCATTCTGTCAATCATTGAAACTTTTCAATGATTCAGAATTATACTTAATCTTGTAAGCATAACCACATTTACTATACTTTTAGTAAATCATGATGAATAATCTTATTGTTATTTACGGTGGACTTGACTAGTGCACAACATTGCGTACCGGATCTCCTAGTCTTTCACTTGACTCACATACTTATGTGCACAAGGAATTAATCTTAATTTTCTAAGTACTAGGATTTCCATACATCACATGACTCATATCATATGATTCCAGGCTTATGTCCAATTGAAACTTGGGTGA